GTTTGCCTTGCATGTGGCTGACCCAGGTTCAATCCCCAGCATCCCATATGGGCCCCCAAAGAGAACAACACCAGGAGTAATTCCTGAGTGCAGAGCCAGGAGTTAAACCCTGTGCATCGCGCTGGGTGTGACCCAAAAAGAAAAAAAAAAAAAAAGAGTAAGCTCTGAATACTTCCAGATGTAGACGGAGGGGTGGGGGGTGTGTTTAAAAACAATTGCTCCCATTTCAATGCATCACAGTAGCTGAGTCAGACACCCAGGGGTCTGAGAGACCAAAGCACCAGCACCTGGAGAAGATGTGTGGCAGGGCCAGAGCCCGGCTCTCCTGCGGGCTGAGACAGAGCTGAGACACGGGATCAGGCAGCGGGACCCGCGGGCACCAGCCTTGACCCGTGCCAGCCTCCAGCCCTTCGGCTGCCCCCTCGCCAGGAGGATGTGCCAACGGCTGCCAAGCCCACGTGACATGATGCGCTTTCGCCAACCGGATCCTCCTCTGATGAGAGCTTTGGTTCGGGGCAGGGATGAGAGCACTTCACACCTCCATCTTTCCCCCGACGCTGTCTCTGTACCCCGGGCGGGGGCTTCTATTTATAACGAAGGTCCCAGGCGCGGCCAAGCATCGGGCCTGAGCTGTCATGGCTATTCCCCACCATCACTGTGTCATTCATTGGCCCGCGCCAAGCTGGGCGAGCTCCCAGCTCGGTGACATAATCAGGCCTCTCTCCGGCTTGCCCCACACCGTCCACGCTCCCTCTGTGCAGCGCCGCTGAATCACACGCTCTTTTCAGCGAGACTGTCTGCCAGGGGATTAACATTAGACAGCACAATTCCATTATTCAGCGGCCCCAACTCAGGTCTCACCCCAGACTCCGAGAGAGGTTTCAGGGCTCTGCAGAGAGAAGCTGTCAGGAAGGGGCGCCCGGGGGGCTTCTGAACGTTTCACAGACGCCCTCAGCCTCAAAGCTACCCTGAGCTGAAACTGAGCTGAAGGGGCCAAGACCAGCCTCCCATTCTTGGAATGACCCCAACGCTACTCAGGAGCCGGGCAGAGCCTGGTGGGAAGCTACAAGGCCGGCAGATCGCAGGACACAGTTACTGCGTTCTCGCCATCAATGGCTCCACTTCAAAAGGAGATGCAGAGAACTTCCAGCCCCGAGTCTTGCTTTCCCTAAGAGACGCTGTGGGGTCAGGAAAAGAATGCACAAGGCCTGGCGTGACAGTCCCAAGTGATCGGATCAAAGGGCTTAACACCACATGATGCTGAAATGCATCCCCCCCTTCGCACACACACACACAACCATGTATCACTTCGTTCTGTACTTGTTTTGTAAAATTGGTATCATAGCAAGCTACCGAGAGTATCTCGCCCCCCGTGACGTATTCGATATGCCAAACACAGTAACAACAAGTCTCACAATGGAGACGTTACTGGGCCCGCTAGAGCAAATTGATGAACAACAGGAGGACAGTGCTACAGTGCTACCGTCATTCCCAGGAAGTACCTTTGTGGGAGTGGAGGGTTCTAACAACCCTGGGCAAGATTCCCTAGAAATCTACTGAACGTCACAGGGAACCCACAGAGAAACATGTGCCTCAAACTCCATTTCCAGGGGATGCAGAGATTGTTGCCACACTTTCTAAGGCAGAGTTTCTCAGGAACTTAGTTTAATTTGGACAGACAATCAAAGCAGTTTTCTCACCTAAAACTCTAACCCCAGTTAAGTCACTCGGTTAATCGAGCTTTTAGGAAGATTTTTTTAAATTTGGACAATTCAGGGGCTGGAGCGATAGCACAGCGGGTCGGGCGTTTGCCTTGCACGCGGCTGACCCGTGTTCGATTCCCAGCATCCCATGTGGTCCCCTGAGCACCACCAGGAGTAACTCCTGAGTGCAGAGCCAGGAGTGACCCCTGTGCATTGCCGGATGTGACCCAAAAAGAAAAAAATAATTGGACAATTCAAATATGAAAATGGTCTGTCTCTATTAAAAAAAAAACACTTTGATTTTTAGTTGGAAATGTTTACAGAGGACAGGAACTGAGGGATATTCCTGATGACCTTTCAGTATCTGTATTGCAAACCACAATGCCAGAGAGAGAGAGAGAGAGAGAGAGAGAAGAAGAAGAAGAAAAGCACCTGCCAGAGAGACAGGCTGGGGTTGGATGGGGAATGATGGAAGGGAAACTGGGGACATTGATGCTGGGAAATACACACTGGCGGAGGGATGGGTGTTGGAACACTGTGTGACTGAAACCTAACCATGAACAGCTTTGTAAAGGTCGATCTCACAGTGATTCAATTAAAAAAAAATTTTTTTTAAAAAACCTTTGATTTGGTCTGGAGTGATAGCACAGCAGGTAGGGTGTCTGCCTTGCATGCAGCTGACCCAGGTTCGATTCCCAGCATCCCATCTGATCCCCTGAGCACTGCCAGGAGTGACTCCTGAGTACAAAACCAGGAGTAACCCTTGAGCATTGCCAGGTGTGACCCAAAAAAAGCTTTGATTTTAGTGCAGGAGAAGAAAAGCCCACTGAGAAATGATACCAGGGACGTAAGTGCAGGCAAAGGGGGAGGCGAGAACTTTGTTTATGCAGGACTGACAGGAGTTGGTGATGTCACAATGGATCACACATGAAAGCAAAGTGAATCAAGGCGAGCTTTGAGCAGAGAGTGAGCTGGGGTCAGCCAGATGCCCACAGAAAAGGGCAAATGTATAAGCCACAGCCAGGTCTGGGGGGGGTACGTGGGGGGCACAAGACTGAGAGGGGTGCTCCGCAAAGGAGAGTTCTCCCAGCATCCCTACAAGAGGGAGAGGCAGCCTCATGGGATGCCATGGGATAACACGCCCCTCTGAGATAACACACACACACACACACACACACACACACACACACACACACACATACACACACCCTTTCCTCATTGGGTGCAACAGAACCATCACCATAAACCAGCTCACACACACACACACACACACACACACACACACACACACACTTTCCTTATTGAGTGCAACAGAACCCATCACCATAAACCAGTTCACACACTCACACACATACACACACACACACACACCCTTTCCTTATTGGGTATAACAGGACCCATCACCATAAGCCAGTTCACACACACACACACACACACACACACACACACACCCTTTCTTTATTGGGTGCAACAGAACCCATCACCATAAACCAGCTCTCACACACACACATACACACCCTTTCCTCATTGGGTGCAACAGAACCATCACCATAAACCAGCTCACACACACACACACACACACACACACACATCCTTTCCTTATTGAGTGCAACAGAGCCATCACCATAAACCAGTTCACACACTCACACACATACACACACACACACACCCTTTCCTTATTGGGTATAACAGAATCCATCACCATAAACCAGTTCACACACACACACACACACACACACACACACACACACACACCCTTTCTTTATTGGGTGCAACAGAACCCATCACCATAAACCAGCTCTCACACACACACATACACACCCTTTCCTCATTGGGTGCAACAGAACCATTACCATAAACCAGCTCACACACACACACACACACACACATCCTTTCCTTATTGAGTGCAACAGAGCCATCACCATAAACCAGCGCGCACACACACACACACACACACACACACACACACCCTTTCCTTATTGGGTGCAACAGAACCCATCACCATAAACCAGCACACACACACACACACACACACACACACACACACACCCTTTCCTTATTGGGTGCAACAGAACCCATCACCATAAACCAGCACACACACACACACACACACACACCCTTTCCTTATTGGGTGCAACAGAACCCATCACCATAAACCAGCACACACACACACACACACACACACACACACACACACACACACAGCCTTTCCTTATTGGGTATAACAGAACCCATCACCATAAACCAGCTCTGAGAAGAGGGAGTCAAGTTTTCAGAACAACAAGCCATGGAGTACGAAGACACTGCGTTAATCTAGCCCAGTCCCCTGAGAGTTTGGCTAGAAAGATATTCATATGCTTCCGGCGGCTCTCCTTCCTCGGCGGAAAGAGCCTCCAAGAACAGACACTGAATTCGCAGCATCCAGAGACTTTCTCCGTGAGGACGGGAAAGGCCACACAACATGAACCTTCTTCCAGTCAGCTACAAGCTCCATCATCGCCTGAACTTCTCCTTTATTCTCTTAAACACTAAACTTTCTTAGCAACGCGGCATCATAACATTGTATGTGTCAACTGTCTTCTCATTAATTATTCAGGTAGCACTCACCTGGTGTCCTTCAAATCATATTGCTTCTTTTAAAAAGCAATTCTTGGGAAAGGAGAAGTATAAAAGAGTGGGCAGGGTGCTTGCAGTGCTCACAGCCAACCTGGGTTTGATCCTGACACCCCAAACGGTTCCCTGAATACTGTCAGGAGTGATCTCAGAGTGCATAGCCAGGAATAAGCCCTGAGCACAGCCAGGAATGGCCCCATGGCAGGCAACAAAAATGAATTACTGGGCCAGAGAGATAGTTCAGAGGTTAGAACACATGCCTTGCAGCCTACCCAGGTTGATTCTTGGTATATTATCGTCCCGAGTGTGGCTGGATGCAGCCCTAGAAGCACCCGGCACCATCCAGTACAGCCCAGGAGGCTCCCAGCAGTGCTCAGGAGAGCACTGCTAGGAGTACCCCCAAATAAAAATGAAACAAAAATAAAGTTCTTTTAGAGCAAATCCGCACCTTTCCCAGCATGATGGTTTTCAGAGTAAGTGGAGCTTCCAAATTGTCCCCATATTTCAAACCACTTCCACTTAGCACGAAAAGACGCCTTGGGAACCAGAGCATCACACAGAACCCGAGGGTCCCAGCTCATCAGTGACATGGGGTCATCAGATCAGCAGGCAACCGCTCCTGTCCTGGTAGGGACCTGCACTCCTGGAACCCCGGGAACCGAGAATCCAACGAGCCCAACTCACCCACGACGTCAAGGTGGTATGTGTGGTTGATGGCCCCATACTCGTTCTCCACCACGCAAGTGTAGTTCCCCTTGTCGGATGGGACGACGCTCTCCATGATCAGGCTCCAGTGCTGGTTCCGTACCTGGAAAGACCCAAGAAGGGAACCATCTTAGGACAGAATACCAGATTTTCTTGGCTTTCTTGAGGAGAAGAAAAAAGAAGAAAGAGAAGAAGATGAAGGAAGAAGAGGAAGAAAAGGAGGAGGAGGAGGAAGAGGAAGAACAAGAAAAAGAAGGAGGAGGAGGAGGCAGGAGGAGGAAGAGGAAGAACAAGAAAAAGAAGGAGGAGGCTGGAGGAGGAGGAGGAAAAAGAAGATGGAGGAGGAGGAGGAGGAGGAGGAAGAACAAGAAAAAGAAGGAGGATGAGGAGGCAGGAGGAGGAGGAAGAGGAAGAACAAGAAAAAGAAGGAGGAGGAGGAGGCAGGAAGAGGAAAAAGAAAATGAAGGAGGAGGAGGAAGGAGGAGGAAGAGGGAGGAAGGAGGAGGAGGAAGAAGAAGAAGAAGAAGAAGAAGAAGAAGAAGAAGAAGAAGAAGAAGAAGAAGAAGAAGAAGAAGAAGAAGAGGAGGAGGAGGAGGAGGAGGAGGAGGAGGAGGAGGAGGAGGAGGAGGAGGAGGAGGAAGATAGAAAAACAGAAGAATCAACTGAATTCTATAGTAATCATGATGGTGACAAGGAAGTCATTGTCAGGGCAAATGATAGTGCAGTGGGCAGGGTCCTTGCCTTTCACACAGCCACACCTGGGTCAATCCCCAGCACCCGCATAGGGTCCCCCAAGCTTACCAGGACTGATCCCTGAGTACAGAGCCAGGAGTCAGCCCTGAACATGGCCAGGTGAGGCCCAAAGACAAAACAGGGAAAAGCCTGGAAAACAGCTGGTGTTCTCATGGGGAAGGTCAAGTGCGTGGATGGTGACAGACATCCATGTGAGGGGGGTATGGCTCACTGTGTCTCAGGGGGAGCCTCAGTACCAGGCTGCAGAGTCACAGTGGCCGGGGCAGGTGGGCTGCAATGGCTCTACCTCCCGGAACCTGCAGCCCCCAGCGCTGGAGCCAGTTAGCGAGGTCCTCCCCAGACAGGCACTGACCTCAACACACTCCTCACCTGCACTCAGCCACCCCACCCCCACACTGCAGTCCACACGTCTGTGTGCATTCCCCAGGGCCCTGGCAGCCAGGCACTCCACACACTTTCCCTTGAGGTCCTCAGAAGTTTCCGGAAGTCTCACCAAGCTCCAGCTGGGGGGGGAGGGGGGCGGCATAGATGGGTCCCTCCTATCCAGGGGTGGCAGAATAGATGTTCCATATTCCCAGGAGACGGACCCAGAATTCCAAATATGGGAGCAATGAAGCCCTCGGAAGCTCAAGTTGTATATCCATCTGTTTACAGACTCCTTGAGGCTTCCCAGAGACAAGCCCCAAGGTGCAAAGGAGACCCTGAGCTCCGTCTCCACACTCTGAGCGGCCTGCAACCCAGCCGGCTACTCCGAGTCCCACCTGACTCTCAGCGGGAGCAGCCAGAACCTGGAAAACACACACTTCCAAGCAAAGCCTGATTTCGCCTTCCCAGGACAAAAAAAAAAAAATTTAAAAAGTGCAATTTTCACCTTCAGGATTCTAAGCTCTCCTGGTGCCAAGGGCATGAATGGGAGTCAGGTAGGGGCAGCTCAGGGCGAGGGCCTGAGTCCCCACCTCAGCACCATCAAGAAGAAAAAGGGAACTGGGGGCAAAACAAGGGGGAAAAAAATCCAAAATCAGGGCCCACTGTTATCTCAGGAATTCCAACTGACCTTCGGAATCCCATTGCCTGCCCATGGCAAGGCTGTTCTCTCTTAATCACATAAAATCCGATAATACCGCCGAGCCTTCAGCAGCACACGAGTGATTCAAGGAACTGGAGGAGCCCACGACGAACTGTCTCCCGAACGCTCAGACACCCAGGACGGCCCCGCAGCTGTCCACTTGGAAAGGCAAAGCCAGCGACGGTGGAGAGCTGGAGGAGCACGTGGGCACCGCAGAGAGTGGACAGAGACGCCACGTCCACAGGCCAGCGCGTGCTTGGGGCGGACAGCCCGGCGAACGCTCTGGGGCACACAGCCTGGCCACCGAGCTGAGCCAGGCACTGAGGGGAAACTGGGCTCTGTCCCTCCGCTGCCCCCGGCCCCGGCCGCCCGGCCTCACCAAGGAGGCGTTTCTGAGACCAAAGCCGGGAAACTGGTGATACTCCACGCGTGGCCAGAGTCAGAGACACAGTGGAAGGCCGGGCCAGACAGAGCAGCGCTGGCCTGGAGAGTCGGCCTGCTCTGGCTATGAGCGGAACACTCCAGACCCTCTGAGGGAGAAGGTCCCTGGATGCAGGGGTGGGGAGTGACAGTGGCCAGCCATTCCCAGGACACGGACTCGCTGCGTGTCCAGCCTATGGAACAGACCAGCACCAGCTCCTCTGAAAAAAATCAAGCTCAATGTACCCTCCCGGGGACCACTTCACCCCACTTCCCAGCTCTCGGGGGGTGGCAGGAACAGGCCTCTCGGGTCCCTGAAGAACTCGTCATGCGGAGGGTTAAGAGTGGTGAGGGCCACCGGCCCTCACGTCACCAAGCCACATAATCCAGCCTTGAGCCCGGCTGTAAATATTCAGTTCTTTGAGTCCCCTCTCAAATGTCAGGGCCATAAGCCCTTAATCGGGGCTAGTGCCTGGCCCTGGGCCACGTCCAGACTGTCAATGTCTCTCTCGCGCCTGGGTCCAGATCTGGCACCGGGCAGAGTCCCCAGGGAGCCGAGCCTGAGCCGTGGAGGGAGGCGGTGGCCCGGCTCAGCCGTGACATCTTACGCACGCAGCCCTGCCCTCACGTGCTAGGCCGCCGGGCCGGGCTCTCTCTCTCTCTCTCTCTTTTTTTTTGGGGGGGGGGGCCCAGCTTCGAGTGGAAGACCCTGTCAGCATGTTCCATACTCCTTATCTACTTCCCGGACAGGCACCATGAATACTCAGCAGTTAACGTTTACCAAATGATTTCACAAGGAGAATCTCATCTACCAAACAGGCTGTTTGGGCCCTTGGAGTCCGAGACACACAATCAATAGTGCCCCATGCAGCGGGTTAATGTGTATTAACTGCCAATGGTGCCCAGTGCCTCGCAAAGCCCAGGCTGGACAGAGCCTCTACCCACCGGACACCCCAAGGAGCCCCGGGGAGATAGTCTGACACTTCTGTGGGGGGGGGGGGGGGGATATTAGACCATTCATTAGCGAGTGCTTAATACCAAGCCGTGCACCACAAACACAGCTGTATAAAGACAGGGACAAAGGCACCAAGCCAGGTGCATGGTCCTCAGAGCTGCACTGGCTGCCTCGCCCACTTTTTGCAGGGACCCCAAGAAACTCCCTTTATGGGGCCAGAGAGATAGCACAGCGGGTAGGGCGTTTGCCTTGCACGCAGCCAACCTGGGTTCGATTCCCAGCATCCTATATGGTCCTCCGAGCACCACCAGGAGTAATTCCTGAGTACAGATCCAGGAATAACCCCTGTGCATCGCTGGGTGTGACCCCAAAAGCAAAAAAAAAAAAAAATGAAGAAAGAAAAAAGAAACACTCTCTACACCAAAATGGAAGCGAGTCTTCTCCTCCCTCACATTCTCCTTGGTTCCTCGGCCCTCTCGGACCACCGTCCTGCTGTCTGCGAGGCTCTCCCCACAGAAGAGAGAACTCAAACGCCCGACTCAGAGGAAACCAGGCTCATTAAGTCTGGGGAGATGCAAATTGAAAACAATAATGAGAGGCTGTTATTCACTAGCTGATTAACTGCCATTAGAAAGATCTGTGTCACCCAGCGCAGGGGGAGCAGGAGGGAGCAGGGCACCGGGGGGAAAAGGGTTGGTGAAAACCTCCCTGTGGAATCGTTTGTTAGCACCACATTGGGGTCTGGGGGGGTGTGGTAGGGGAAGGGGTGTTGGGGGGGGGGGAGGAACATCGTAGAGGAATCAGATTGTTTCCACGTTTCCAAACCTAGTTTCCACCCAAAAGAGCAGGGACTCAAGGGGCATGAACAGATGCTGTTTGTAATAATAAAAATTCCGAGCCCGTCGAGAAAAAGAGCACTGAGAATGGATGCTTCCTTCCAGGTGACAGAAGAGTAATTTATTCGAAGAGAATAACTGGAAGTACTCTTCCAAAAGGAGTATTCTTATGTTCAGACCTGGCAAGATACCCTGAAAATATTGATAAATGAAAAAAAGTAGCCTGGATTCAAATATGCGTAGCCATGATTCCATTTTGTCAAACTTGGACACACATATGCACACGCACGCACGCATACACACACACACACACACACACACACACACGCCACACTAATACACACATATACGAACACACACGCACAGCCCCAGTGATGCATGCTGAACTGGCTCTATAGGCATGCAGCCTAAACACTGCTCAAAGCAGAAAGAAAATGTACTAAATGGTTGGCACTCTACTTTCCATAATTAAGTGGTGGAATGAGGAATGTTGTTTACTTCCTTCTCATTTTCACTTTTCAGATTCAAACTGAAACTGCATGTGTGGTGTGAGCCACACACACACACACACACACACACAACTGGTGCATGCAGCTGCCTGGGCATCCCTTCCTGATCGCCTAAGAACTCTCCGGCAGACCCAACCAACCCGGAAGCTCAGAGGAGAATCGTGCCCCTTCCAACACAGGCACGATTCTTTCTTCTCATTCCTGCCCGAGGCAAAATCTTGATGGAATTCTTCACTTGCTTTTCATCAACCAAGCAACATAATTCGAGGGGCTGGGGCGCTGCAAAACTAAAGACTTTTTTTAAATGGCAAACGGGCTAAGCTCCCGCAGGTAACACGAAAAGTGAATTCCACAAACATTCCACTCGCCCAGTCAACGCAAAGGCAGAAGGTAGCCCCTGACAGTTTTTTGTTTTTGTTTTTGTTTGTTTTTTGGTTTTTGGTTTTTTTTTTTCCCAGAATTCCTGTTACCTAAGTCTCCCTGGGGGCAGGTCAGCCCTCCACCTCTCCTGGTGGCCAGTGGGAACGGAGACTTAGATGGCAAGATGCCAGCTCACCGAAGCAG